CAGTTTATAGATCAGTTTTCATTGGCGTTGTTTTATAAAGAGGGTTTTTATCGAGAGTCAAATGTATTGCTGGTCATATATATTTTTTTATTTTTGCAAAAATATATAACTGGAATTTTTACTATAAGAAATACATTTGCATACCTTCATAACGTTCTGAACACTGTTTGGTGGTTAACCACTTGTCCGCAACTGGGGCTCCAACAGGACCCACCTCCCATGGTCAGTGTGGACCGGGGGAAAACAACAATTAAAGGATGGTTTCACGCTTGTCAAAACCTCCCGAGGCCATGCTGCCGGATGAAATTTATCGACAAACCCAGGACGACATATGAATTTGGATCGGATACTATACATATATAATGTTCAAACTATAAGACTAATATTCAGAACTATTTATACAGAGCTTTTTTTTTAAAGGACATTATGCAATAAGGGAAATAGCTGACGGTAAATTATATGCTTTGATTTTTTTTAATGAACTGTTTTGCGTCGATTCTGACCATCGACATTCGCTATATTCCTAGATCTCGTTGCATTTCTGTAATAAACTTCCCCTCATTGATATGCATTATATAAAAATATTGACTATGCTTTTCAGCCATGGTTGAATTGATTCCTGACCATGGGCATTTTCTTTATTCTTGTCTCTCGGCACATTTCTGTATTAAAAATCATCATATAAAAATGTTTCCACAAGCGATTCCTTGGTTCCCTGCTAACTACATACTGCAAGCATTTAAATGTAACGCCAATCGACATCTTCAGTCTATTGAATCCTCTTAGATTTTAAACTTTCCTCAATCCTCCTCATTCTCAATATTCTCTTTCACAATCACTTCCTATAAGCCACTGCGTACTAGAGGCAGCACTTCATATAAGCACCTGCATACTAGAGACATCGCTGCCTATAAACCCCTGCATACTAGAGGCATCACTCCCTATAATATCCTGTGTACTAGTGGCATAACTTCCTATAAGCCCCTGCATACTAGAAGCATCGCTCCCTATAAGACCCTGCGTACCAGTGGCATAACTTCCTATAATTCCCTGCATACTAGAGGCATCGCTCCTTATAAGCCCCTGCATACTAGAGGCATTACTCCCTATAAGCCCCTGCATACTAGAGGCATCACTCCCTATAAGCCTCTGCATACTAGAGGCATTACTCCCTATAAGCCCCTGCATACTAGAGGCATCGCTCCCTATAAGCCCCTCTGTGGTAGTGGCATCATCGCCTTGCTTAGGGTGAAAAAAAATTATAAAAAATGACATAATAAACCGAACGTTCTTTGTGGTCAGCCCAATATAATGGAAGCTAATGTGAAAGAATGGAACATTAAAAATAAAAAAATAATGGCTGAGAGATTTTGCATTCACTTCGTTCTAATCCCGGTCATGTAGAGTTGATATGAATTGTCAATTACAGAAAGGATCCATAGTAGCCACGCAGGAAAAGATGATCTCGCCTGTGGTTACGCAGTCAGCAGGTAAACAGCATTCGTTGAGCGTTTATAATGTTTGACCGACGCAAAAACTTTGGCCCAGAGCAATTTTCTTTGTACGTTTAAAGTTTGTTTTTTTTTTTTTTAGCAAAGGATGACATCAACCATGTCACTGATATTCCATCTCCCGTAGAGATTGTTTCCCGGTGGTTTCCAATTTTCCCAAGGCTAAAATCGACTATGAAAAGAAAAGTCGAGAGAAAAGTCGAAATACGGGTTGGTAATGTTATCGCTCCTGACTTGGCATCTCAATTTCATTCCATTTCCCGCCGCCGTGACGTTGCTTACCTCTGTCTTTCATATCACTAGAATTTTTTGCAACACGCTGACGTGTTGAAATCATCACAATATTTAGTACTTTTGAAATTATCGCTAGCATTTTTGTCGAGATTTCCAAACTCTACATTTCGTTCAGTTTAGCAAACCAATCGATGAAATTTGAAGAATCTGATTTGTTTGGAAAAATACTTTGACAAAAACGTTACTTCGAGGTTTAATAATTTCTCTAATTTAATTTAATTTTATAAGGCTTCATAGTAAACAATATTTTTTAAGAAAATTTAATTTTTCCTTTATAACAGCGAATAAAAAATTCTCAGGATTTCTTACTCTTGAGCATGCAACACACAACTAGACATGCGTAAATATTTCTTTCTGGAGCCAATTTTCAACTTTTTGAAGAACTTGTGATTTGTTTATATTTCTTGAAAAAGCAGGGGAAACTGGAAACTGTATTCTTGTATATAAAGATTAAAGAAAATTGAAACCTTTTAATTTTTCCAAAACATGAATAAAAGTTTATTGTACTAAACTACGCGCTCTAATAAAACCAACCGTACTTTGTACCCGCTTATATGTTTGCATTTCTCCCCCATAATTTGTTTCCGATTGGTCAGTGTAGGTATTAATCCACTTCCCCACGCAGCAAGATGTGGCAAAAGGCCGAGTTTTATCGTGTTGTATCCGAGTTCATAGGCTCGGGCAAAAAGTCCCTGTAGACCTCGTAAAAACGGAGTCAGTTTCCTGAAACGAGACTCTGCCCTACAACATAACCTAGTCTGACCTGTACCAGGTAAGTATTCGATTGGACAGTGTATGACTATTGTAGATGGTGTGACGGACAGACGGACAAACTAACGGAAGTCACAGAATTTTATATGTAGATGGCGCTTCAATTAATCACGTGAAAGACTCCTTCCTGCCTACCATCATCACGGCTGATGCTAACCTCCATGATAGGGATTCGTTGCACCTTCTCGGGCTTACATTCTCAGCTGACATGAAGTAGACAAACTATATTGAATCTAATTCGGGGTTTGCCGCTAAGAATGTGAGTTCATTTTGTCTTAAATTTTTCTCTTCATAATCTATCTTAGATATTTATAAGTCTCCCATTCGTTCATGCTTAGAATATTTCTGCTACATATCGTCCGGTGCACCTGGTGTATATCCAGACATATATGAAAAAATCCAAAGAAAATTCTGCTATGTTATTGGTCCTGACCTGGCATCTCTTTCTCAGTCGCTTTCCCACAGCCTTAATGTAGACTCCCTGTGCCTTTTCTATAAATTCTTTCATCGTAATTGTTCGGATGAACACTTCGCTGTGGTATCTAGATCTTTTTTTTTTTAAATTTAAGCGCAATACTGCAGAGTGGCCTGAAAGTCTTGTTATTGCCTAACAAAAAGTAATGAGAACAACAGAAGAACCAGTAATACAGTAATACAAAGGACATGTAACTGAATTCAGTTTATTATTCACTTTCATTGACGCTGTCACACATCGAGAAGGTCTGTATGAACAAAATCATTTTCGTGTCAGTAATCTGAAATAGAAAATTATATTATATAGGGGTGACAGGACTTTCGGACCACCTTATATGTTGTGTGTTTATAGCCCTTTTTTTACATCAACAGACTGGTTATCTAAATATAATTGATTGAATTTAATATCTCTATTTAGTAGATTCGAGATAATCGGATAGCAAATTTATTATCCCATTTAAGGTTTTTATTTGTTTTTTTTAATTTGTTTATAGAAGAAGAAGAAGAAGAAGAAGAAGAGACAAGGAAAATATTAAATAAAACGTACTTACATGGTGGTCCGAATGTCTTGTCACCCATACAAAAAAGTAATGCGAACAATAGAAGAACCAGTAATACAGTAATACAAAGGACATGTATTGGATTCAGTTTATTATTCACTTTCATTGACGCTGTCACGCAACGAGAATGTCTGTATGAAAAAAATCATTTTCATGTCAGCGATCTGAAATAGAAAATTATATTATGTAGAGATGACAAGTCTTTCGGACCACCTTGTATGTTGTGTGTTTATAGCCCTTTTTTTACATCAACAGACTGGTTATCTAAATATAATTGATTGAATTTAATATCTCTATTTAGTAGATTCGAGATAATCGGATCGCAAATTTGTTATCCCATTGGACTTTTATTGCTTTTTATTGTTTTTTTTTTTTTTGTTTAGAAGGAGAAGAAGAAGAAGAAGAACCCCACAAAGAAGGAGAAGAAGAAGAAGAACCCCACAAAGAAGAAGAAGAAGAAGAAGAAAAGAACAGACACAGAAAAGATTAAATAAAATAGGTACTTACATAGTGGTCCGAAAATGTTGTCACGCCCTACAAAATAGAAATGAGAACAACAGAATAACAAGTAATACAGTAATACAAAGCACAATGTACTGGATTTAGTTAATTCACTTTCATTGACGCTGTCACACGTCGAGAATGTCTGTATCAAGGCCATCATTTTCGTGTCAGTCGTCTGGTATAGAAAATTATATTAAGTAGGGGTAACGAGACATTCGGACCACCTTCTAGATTGGCGGCAAGTTTTCATTAATTCCCTGTTGAATTGACTAGATGTAAGTTTTATGCTAACACTTTCTGTTCTTGCACTTCGCCAGGCGTTCTAGCCAACTTTGACCTGCAGAAATGTAAATGCAATATCCATCGTTATCTACTGTCTTCTTCATTAGATTTTTCTTGTTCTCATTTCTTAATAATGTTTCGCTTTTGTTTTTTTTTATTTCTTCACACTCAGCAACATCTTCTGTTTTATTCGTAGAGTTTCTTTTCTCGCATTTCTTGCCTGTGGCTCTTCCGTGTGTTTGCGTTCCAGTCAACTTTTATCTTCAGAAATTTAAATGCAACGCCAATCTGAATCTGCCTTTCTGAAACCTTTTTTTTTTTTTTCATTCTCCGTCCTCCCCACCAATGTCTCTTCTACTCTCTGTAATTGTGACATTATCGCATTCCTTGGGTTGAAATGAAAGACAACGTCACATCTCAAGGGTATTAACTTGAAGGAGACAGAGACGCCAATGTTTTTGTCAGGTTACTTTTAGGTTGACACTTCCACCTTTTTTCTATATGTCTAACTTATTCGGAGAAGTATCATTTTGTAAAAAGATATTTCCACTGAAATATATTAGAAAATATTTAGTTTTCATTTGAAATCAAAAAATACGAAGCCTTGCGACCATATCATCCTAAAACACCGGTTCCCGTACTATCACCGAATTTCAGCAACGTCGAGCCTATTCATTACCTGAATGGGTGACCGATTGGGAAAACTAGACGCTGGATGCTGGTGGTGTAATAGATAATGACTCGGAATTCTTAATCCGGGAACCGAGTTCCAACCTCCATTGGGCGCGTCATATTCACTTACCTAAAAACATATTTTATGGCTTTAAATAAGCCGCAAGGATAAAACGAATCAATTCAAAGAAAATATAAAATTTAATCAAAACGGTCGCAATATAAGGAAAAAGAGAGTGACAGTTTAAAGTGAGTCCAAGAAAATCAGGACTAAATATGTGTATATTTTCCAGAAATAAACAAGAACCTGGTTGCAAACCGCCTGCTTACGGGCAGAAAAAGAATTAAGCCGACATACAAAAATAAAAAGAGACGTAAGACAAGGATATGTCTTCTCACCGGACTTATTCAGCATATACAGAGTGACAGTTCTGAGAGAATTAGACCTCCTACCAGGATACATTATTTGTGACCACGATCTTAAGAGAATATATTCAGATGACACAGAGCTAATAGAAGACACGGAAAGAAAACTAAAATAGCTTTTATAAAATGTAGCGAAGGAAAAAGAGAGGTCAGTACAAACTACAAGAAGACAGAATGCATGGTCATTAGCAAAAGAATGAAAGAATTTCAAATCTGGGATACTAAAAGAAAGCAAGTATAAAATTTTAAATATATGGGAAGTGTTCTAACAGAGAACGGAAAGTGTGACACTGAGATCAGAAGACGTATTGTCATGGTTAAAGATGCATTCCAAAAGCTAAGCAGAGTATTAAGAGACAGGAAAAATCATTAGAAACAAAGAAAAGAGTATTGAACTCTTAATTAGTATTTGTCCTCCTTTATGGCAACGATTTCAGGACAAGATGTAGAAGTGACTTAAAGCAACAGAAACGTGTTTCTATAGAAAGATGCTGAGGATACCATGGACCGAACCTGTGAGCAACGGCGAAGTTTTAGAGAAAACGGAAACAAAAATGATATACTTAACATCGGGAAGAGGCAGTCAAAATTTGATGTAATGAGGAAGGAAGGCTTGGAAAATCTGATACTCACAGGACAGACTGAAGGAAAAAGAGAGAGAGAGAGAGGAAAACCACGCGTCACATATTTTATGAGCATGAGTAAATAGACGATAGAACAGGGGTTAGGAGAAACAGCAGAAAGACAAAATTTATTAAGAGCTACAAGTTATAAGAATATGCGGAGGACCATGATCGCCTACGTCCTGAAGGGTCGGCGCATAAAACAAAGATACTTTCCAGAAATAAATAGTATGTATTGCCTACTTTGAACGAGTATAAGTGTTTGCTGAAGAGTTAACAATCTGTCTATATACGTGTAACGATCGTGCCGCGAAATATTGCATGTATTAATTTCAACACTTCTTCTTAATAGATGCATTGGTACTTTCCAGTTCAACTGATATCTGAATGTCCAATGAAGATTGTCATCCTGTTGGTAAAACGTCATTAACATCAGATCTGATGTTACGATGCCCGCTATACAGATTCACAGCCAAGTGAGTTTTTTTTTCAGGTTGGAGAACAGATGATAGTCAAATCAAGAGAATAGGAGGTATGATCAACCAGTTGTAAGCCACAGTCAGGGACAGTGGCAGTTGAACTCAAGGACTTGTCTCCTAGAGCATTGTCATGAGGAAAAAAGATATTTTTGTCTGTTTTGCTAGCGTTTCGTCTTGATACCATTTCGATACTGTACCAGCAAGTTTCCTTAATACTTTATATTGATATTGTGGTTCTTTGGAAGGTAGTCAAAGAAAATATTTAGATTTCGACAATAAATAAACCATAAGCGCTCTCATGCCGCTAAACCAATAAACACAGAAACCAAATCAGATGCCCTAGCGTGTTATTGACTTAAGTGATCTTGAAAAAATTGTTACGGTCATGACTTCTTTTTTCAGTGTATACACAAAATGTCTTGTCAGAGGAAGTAAAAATATATTCATTTTTTTTAATTTTTTCGGAACATAACAACAATCTTACTTGTTATATAAACAATATTTTGACCGATGAACTCTCCAGACTTCTTCAGGTATCTTCATTTGCACGTCAGTAACTTTCGTATTTCGAACCAAATAACTGAAACATATAGTCCTCCTCCCATTTTCCAGCTCAAGTGACATTTCATAGTTAACTCACAAGTGCAAACCAGATATTTTAAGAATTGATTTAATAGGCAAAGCCGGGTTTTTCTTGAAGAGTGCTATGAGTATAACCTGGATGAAAGGGTAGCATTTTTTCTTCTCTTCACTATTAGTAATATTCGCCATTTTCTTATAACGAAGCATACGGCATTTATGAACAGACCAGGCATTGCTATCATCGACAGAAATAAAAAAATCTTTTACCATAAACTGCTTTCGCTCATCCATTAATTGTTATTGTTCTTTCAAATATTGATGGGTGCTTCTCTCTACCATTTTGTTTGAAGTAGCGTGAAACGGAGGAGTTGTGAGGTAATGGATAGCGCCTCAGATTGAGAAATTGGAGAGCCGTGTTCGAATTCCAGTCGAATCCATTACATTCACTTATGTGCTAATACCCTTGGGAAAGATATGAAACATATTCTTCGCCATCTGTGGGTAAATATCAGGACAGATCGGGTTCTATAACCTTGGATGGCAACTGGTCTACTGCAGAAAGAAACGGCAACCTACTGCGGGAAAAAATCTGCTATCGTCAGTCATGTATCGAAAGATACGCGTGTATCACGCATGGCACATAAGAGACTGAAATTCACTTACGTCCTAATGCCCTTAGTAAATGTATGAATCCTCTTCTTCTGTAGGTAAATATCAGGACAGACCTGGTTCTATAAATCTGGATGGCAACCGATCTGTGCATTTTAGCTATTCTTGTTGCAGCTGAAAATCCTCAGGTGTTGTGGTTTACTGTTATTTTGTACAGTTCTTTGAGATTCTTTAGCTCCAGTCCACATGGCTTGAAGAAGAATGGTTCTTGTTCAGAGCGACATTAATATAGGAAAGCGATTGTATGCAGCAGGCTGCTTAGATGCCTTTCAACGGTTTTAGCGCCATGGCTGACACACCATTGATTGATTAGATACAACTCGTGTTGAAGTTCTAAAATAGAACAAGACGCCATTTTCTTGGTGTTCCGTGAGACTACCCCAAACATATCTTATTCGTTGATCAGTTTTTTTTCTTCTAATATTTTTCCTCAGTAGGAATTGATAAGCACACCTATTGTCTGGTTCACACACCTGCCAGTCTTTTAAACAATAGTGTTTTATACATTGTTTCCTGTTTAGGGTTGAATTTCCAGTTCCCTCAAAAAATATCTTCCTTTTCTTTCACTTCCAGTAGCCCCTTGAGTCTTGGTAACATTATCACCTTGCTTGTATAGGTGGCACTTACTCTGTAACCATCTACCTCGAGTGTCTCTTGGGCCTTGTACAGCCTGAAGAATCATGGTAAAAAAAACCCTTACGTATTATTGTAAATTTGATACCGTTTATCCATACATCACGGTATCTGAAGTGATTTATATTTAATAATTTCTTCTTTAATTTTTACGATGGATTCAGGTTAATGTTATCCGCGCTTTCATTCAATATCCAGATTATTGTTTCTATTTCTGGAGAGCTTTTTCATAAAACTCTTGATAGAGGATGTTGATATTTTATCCAAGAACAGTCTTATCTAAGCTATGAATACCTAACTCATTGGCAGAGCTCTCATCATCAAGAATACAAGTGTCTCTAAAATCTAGACACATAGGAAATATCATTACCTATACTTTATTTATTTTATTTCCACAGATTATGACATGTTTTTATTTTGTCCAAAGAAGAAACAATTCTCTATTTTTTGGGGGGAGGTTATGCTAAAGAAGAATGTGTACTCAAGGAAGATCACACATGCAACCCACTTGTTTGAACGCATGACGATTGAATGTGCTAAAATCGACGGCAATCTGGAGTTATTGTATCGGGCTCGCGTGAATCTTGCAAAGCGCATCAGCCATTGCATCAAAAATGATGTAAATAATATTGAAGATGTTATTTCTTATTATTCCAGTTCAATAAAATATTATTGAAAATATATATTTTTGCCTATAATGTCGATAGTTTACCTATAGTAAGATCTCCATCAATTTTGTAAACAGCTTACAAGACATCTGAAAATATGAAGCGAAAATCATCGCACGATAAAAAAGAAACGAAAAAACTCAAATAAAATATGTACCTGTTTTGTTTTTGTTAGATAAAAAGACCAAAAATTTACTTGAAAAGGAAAATGTTTTAACCTAGGAAGGGCTACTGAATGAGGAATAAACAAAACGGGGTTTGGAAATGTAATGTTAATCTTCATAGCATCAACAAAATACAATACTCGCCAGCGGCGTGAAATAGGTAAACCACTGCTAGTGGTGGACTACCTAGACACAATATTACCCACACTTACAATACTGTCGAACGTATTTATGAGGATTGTGACATACTCACTAATATTCATAGGTAATATGTATAACAGAAAATAAGGCAATGTTTCACCACTCGCCTGCATACAGGGTGTATCCCTGAAGTCTGGACATGTAGCAAATCTCATTAACTACAATTTATACCTCCACAGATTAAACATGTTATTTTTTGAGAGAGAGAAAATAGAATTATACTTGTAACAGTTTGAGATGTATTCAATGAAGATCACAGATGCAACACACTTGATTGAACGTTTAAAAAATGAATATGCAAAAATTGGCGGCAAAATGGAGTTATTGCATCGAGTACCCGTGAATCATGCAAAGTGAATTTATAATTTTTTTCGTGTTGTATTGGTTATCATTTTCTTGTAAACATGTATTGTTGTTCATTTTATTATAAAAATGTGTTGTTGATTTTTTTTGTTTGGAAGTTCACTACTCTCCCAGACTTGAAACC